CTCTTGTTTGGTTTGTATTTTGTTCCCTAGTTATATGTGTTGTGTTGGAGGAGAGCTGCCATTCCCAGAGTTGTCATTTAATGGGAGGTTCTACTTCCTGCTTAAGTGTAAGAAGAAGGTACAGATCTAGAACCTTGAACTCCGACAGCATGGCTAAGTTAGAAAGGAGACCCTGGCACCAGAGAAATCCATTCTCTGACCTCTCAGCATCTACTTTAAGGAGAAGTTAGCAAGACAGTGGCATTATAAGGTGAGTTAACAAGATAGTGGCATTTGGATGAGTGTTTTGTTGAGTTAGTAGAATGGGTGTCACATGTAGGAAATTATTTTGATAAAATGTCAATATACTGATTTCTTTTTATCAGTGCAGATGTGGTACTTATCCTCACAGCATTTTTGATTTGGGAGAACATACTCTTGAGTACCAGAGACATGAAGAAGCTGGAGTGAAAACCCCCAGAGCCCATCCTCCATCACAGGCCTCTTCAGGATGCCTGGGGTTTGTGGGATCCCCTTCACTAGGGCAGGTCAGTCCAGCCTCATTGGTACCACCATGTGGGCTTCAGCTGAGAAGCTTGATACAGCAGACAAGTGGGTCTAACTTGACTGCTATGGGGGCAATGGTGCTATGCTTATTAGAAAGTCTCGATATTCAGTAAAACTGGTAGAAATGCTGAGTTACTGAAGGAAGTACAGATGTCCTGGAGGAAATGTAATCACTGGAGAGGTGTCAGGAAGCCCAGCATAAGTGGTGTCTAAAGGACAGCCATACTCTCATCCACTTGGAAATAGTCGTACACTCACAATCACATTCACACAGAAGCACATTCACACATAATAACACAAACAGCTTCACCCTCCTAGACTTTTCCCTTCCCTGGACTCCCAAACACGCACACACACCTCACATACACTCAGTCAAAAGGGTAGCTTAGGGGAGACCTCATGGCTGAATCAAATGCTGGTTAATGCTGCTGCTTTTATTACACCAAATGTCTTAACATTTATTTTGAGATGAACACAAAACTTGGTATACTGCTGTTACAGTGTCATGCATTCTCCACAGTGCAGCTTCAGAGCTCAAGATCACTGCAGCACACACAAAAGAACTGCACTCCAGAGAGGGAAAGGAGAGAACTGCAGATCCTTGTTCTCTCCAGTATCAGTAGACTAAAGGTGCTTCACTATGACAGCAGTCAAGGAATCACATGTGCTGGGAAGGTGTGTTTTCAACAGCTAATCAGGTGTGTCTGACAAGGGATCCAGGTGTGGGTAAGTTCCTAACACCAAGAATATTTTGGGTTAAGTATATATTCCCCACATAGTCAGCACTGGCTAAAGGAAGGGGGGCATGCTTAGCACTGCATCTGAGTTAGGTTAAGCTACCAGGAGTCCTCAATGAAGGGAGTCCTGGTTTCACAAGGAAGAATAAGACATGATGGCGCTGTCACAATAAGGCCACTAAACTCACACCAAACGATGACCTCAGAGAATGTTCTCACAACTACAGAAAAGCAGCTCTATTCTCTCTGATGTCAGGTGCCCTTCGCTGATTAGGCACCTGCCCTGAGACCTTCACATGATCCTTTCTGAGCTGCACATCACTTAGCACAACGGAGCAGAGGAAGGGGCCACACAAGTCAAGGTCATGGGACATCACTACCAAACGTGGCTGACTGTTGTTGGCAAATGTCTCAGATGCCTTTCCCGGTTAGGCCAGGTGCCCACGTGTGTCTGAAGAGCTAATCTGAAAAGAGGCTGGCAAAGGACTTCCTCAAGCTCCTGATGGTCTCTGCTTTGGCTTCATCCTCATTGGCTGAAGACCGGAAGAAGGAGGACTCAGAGAAGCTGAAGGCATTTGTCAGGGACTGCGACTTGCTTGAAGATAAAAACCAGAGAGAATGTGAGAGGGTGGTGTTCCCAGCAAGGTAGGAAAGGACGATCACATGAGGATACACAACTGGAACCCCCACTCCCACCCGAGGGAGACCACGGTGATAGAAAGCCAGCAGGGATTGTGCTACCAGGATCCTGGGAGGCTCCTGTGCTATTTTCTTCACCTTCACTGCTGCTAAAACAGGAAAGGATGGGAGCAGTGAGGGAGAGAGGAAGGGAGGAAAAAAGGAAGAAGAGAAAAAAGAGAGAGAAGGAAAAGAGGAAGAAGGGGGTGACTCAAAGGATGATTCTTTTATTTAATGCTAAAGGGCCAGCAGACTAAATTTCCGAGGCCTCAACTTGGTACGTACTAATCTAGGACTCACACCCTTCCCCTCTGATGAAATGTAGCAACTAGGGGCCCATGGACTCTTGCACTCTCTTTTCCATGAATTGTCAAGTAGTGGAGTCAGCATCAGAACATCTGAGTCAGTCTTGATTCTGCCACTCACTTACTCTTGACCTCAGGCAAGCCATTGCTTTTCTGGTATTTGGTTTTTATTTGTGGTCTGTACTTGTTTGCTAAAATAATCTCTAGGCTTTTTCAGAGCTTTTTATATTCTGCTTTTTTCTTTCATTCCAAAAGAACCTTTTGGTTTGGCACAAACTCTAGTGCTCAATTTACCTTGAGCATTAAAGTGGATGTAATCACTCTTTGTAGCCTTCCTCAGATGACCCCTAATATAAGGTCTGTGGGGCTCCGGGTGTCCAGGGGCAAGAGACACAGTCAGCCCTCCACATTCACAGATGTAACCAGCTACGGATCAAACGTATTTGAAAAAATAAATCCCAGATTAATTCTTAAAAGGAAACTTGAATTTGCCATAAGCCAAGCACTATGCTGAAGCCATGTGAATGAAGATGTGAAAGCACACCCAGCTATAGGTTATATGCAAATATAGGTTATATGCAAATACTACACAATTTTATATAAGGAACTTGAGCATCCTCAAATTTTGGTGTCTGCAAGGGGTCCTGGAACCAATCTCCCATGGACATTGAGGGTCAACTCTACTTATCAGACCGACACCAGGTTGTTAGGCAGTTTTCTAATAAAAAAAAAATCACACACATTATAGGGACTGATTTATCCCTTGAGAGATTAGCAATTCAGTGAGAAAAACTCAATACAAGAAGGTCAAGGGAAGGCTAAGCCCAGAACTTCAGAAGAGGATACAGGTCTAGTGTCTCCAGTGGTCCGTATACTCTCCTTGATTTCTACTATGTTCCTTTCCTGCCAGTTTCTGTCTCCAGAACTGTTTTCCTGGTGCCTTAAAACTCCCAGTCCTCCCCTAAATTCAGGGTGTAGCCCCAGAAACTTCATTCTACAGAAGTATGAGCAGTTTCTCGCTTCCTGCAGTGACTGTGAACAGATGCCCTGCCTTTCATTAGACTAAAGATGAGCCACAATGTGCTGGCCTCTGGGAGGGGGACTCCTCTGCACACACAGGCTAAGGGACTGGGTATCAGCCTTCCTCATCAGAGGCTGACTTTATTCAACAATGTAAGCAGTGACAACCCAAAAATCTGCCCTCAAACTGGGGCCAAAATTGGAAGGTAGGAGAGATTAAAAAGTCAGCATACAGAAAAAAAAAACTGGGTTGAAGGGAGGTTATGGGACATGTGAGATAAGAAATGTGTCACTGGCCAGAGCTGGGGAGCTGGAGTGGGTGATGCTCCTCCTGTCATGTAGGAAAACCCAGAGAAAGTGGTCATCAGGAGCCCCTGAGTCCTAATCCTGGCTATGCCGCTAATGAGCAGAGTGGCTTTAAAAATGAACATTAATTGAATCTCTCTGAGCTATGTTTTCTCATTTATGCAATGGCTAGGCAATCTCTAAAAGTGCCTCATTTGAACTCCAAAATTCTATGGCTCCCTATTCTCCCTCCCTAAAGATTCTCATTATTTTACTATGAGCACAGATGGGTCTATACCAGTGATGGCGAACCTATGACACGCGTGTCAGAGGTGACACGCAAACTCATTTTTTTGGTTGATTTTTCTTTGTTAAATGGCATTTAAATATATAAAAAAATATCAAAAAATATAAGTCTTTGTTTTACTATGGTTGCAAATATCAAAAAATTTCTATATGTGACACGGCACCAGAGTTAAGTTAGGGTTTTTCAAAATGCTGACACGCCGAGCTCAAAAGGTTCGCCATCACTGGTCTATACTATTCCCCCAAGGCTGCAGCTGTCTGTGCTGATAGAGTACTGTTTGGGGAAATTGAAGAGAGGTATCTCTGGTTCTAGTGGAGAAGGTGGAACTGACCACCACCCACATGCTGGTGCTGTTCTTCTCAAGTACAGCCGTACTACTTCCTAGGGGTCCTCAGCTCCTCCTCTGAAGCAGGGCAGTGTAATGGGAGCTTCTAGAGTTTCTCCTGGGAATGAGGGAACTCCAGAGGATGCAGTTGCTCAGGGTCTCTATCTGAGCCCTTCTCAGATGACCACACCAGAAACTGACCTCTCTCTGAGAAAGCTGAGAGTAAAAAGTTGAAATGGGTTTAACTACTTCTCTCTTTTCCTTCTGGGCAGCCTTGCTAATTATATATCGTAAACTGTGAGTCAAAGGCAGCAAAGAGGATTTTTTTTTTTTTTGAGAGAGAGAGAGAGAGGGAGAGAGAGAGAGAGAGAGAGAGAGAGAAGAAATGGGAAAAAGAGTAGGAGACAGGATCAAAAAAACAAAAACCCTAAGCTAGTACAAGAATAGAAGGGTAGTATCTCTGCCTTATTGTCACTCCCCAGGAAGAAAGGGGAGGGTTTGAGCTTCTAGCTAGACTTTAGACTTTCACTTCCCTCTTTCCTATCCTCCCCAATCAACCCTAAATAGGCCCCCAACAACAACAAAAAAACCCACACACAACCAAAAACCAAAAAATAAAACAACCCAAAACCAAAACCCCCAAAAAACCCCACAAAAATATCTGTGGAGGAGGAAGAGGCCTGACTGAAGGTGCTTTCTAGCACCTCTGGAGCCCAAGGCCTGCGAGGAAGGGCAGGAAGAGGGGAGGGGAAGCAGCTGCTGAGTTGTCTCTTACTTGAGCTGTGGGTGAGGCTGGGGCTTCTGTGGTGGAGCAGCCGGGGGTGGCTGGGCCTCTGCCAGGGAGCTGCTGCTGGAGGGTGCATCTCCGTGGGTGGTGGGGCCGCCCGGCAGCTGAGGAGCCGAGAAGGAGGAAGAGGAGGAGGAGGAGGAAGAGGAAGAAGGTGGCACTGATGGTCCACGGGGGAGTCGGCGTGGAGGCAGCACCTTGCCTGGGGGTTGCATTCCTTGGGGTTGCCCAGGGCCCCCTAGGTTCAGTACAAGAAAAACTTCATAATTTAACCATATCAAAGGGTTTTCTTGTTAAAATCTATGTTTCAAAGGGTGTGGTTAGTTAATTACTGAAAGGATAAGCTCCATTACAAGAAGCCACCCGAGGCTCTGAAGTACCCCAGAGGGAGTCCCTGGTTACCCTCATACATTGCCACTACTTGCTTTTCCTCAGAGACACAGCACCTCAGTCACAGCAGAAGTCGGGGGCAAGGAAGAAACCATGGGATGAATGGCTTCAATCAGAGGTGAGCTCTCTATAGAAGACCCCGCAGACCAGAATGACCCCACCCCTCTTCCCCAGAGGTTCCTCAGGTACAGGCCAACCTGCCCCTAGTAGGAGGTCTCAAGTTCCACACAGCAGACACAGTACAGGGCAGTGGAAAGAGCAGTGGTCTGGGAATCAGAAAACCCAAGACATAGTCTATCAGTGACTCCTTGAGCAAGTCAGGAAACTTCTCTGGGCCTCTGTGTTTCTAAACATAAAACTGTTAAAAAATAAGGCCCACTTGTAGTTTTCTTTTAAGATGGTAGTGTTTTAAAGATGGTAATAGGTGAGAAAGTTCTTCAAAAATTATTCTGTGCTTTATGATCATTGATAATCACTGACTTACATTGTTTTATGGAACTAGCCTTTGTCCTGCTCTGAGTCTATACGTGTCTGATTCCCACCCCTACCCAACCAGGGCTTCATTTTAGTATTAGCTCATGCCCATGACTATGATAAATCTTCTGTTTCCAGTAACTCTTTTGCTTTTTTATTACCATCCGCAGGGGCTCCAGTCCTTTTCAGGTGAATATGGTAAAATTCTACAGAAATCCAAGTCCCATTTTCCCCTGGAGATGATGTGGGCACCACCTGGTAAAGAAGACTCCCCCACCTCCATCCCCTCAAAGAGGACCAGGATTCCCTTCTCCCAGAATGAGACAGAAAACCATCTGTGGTCTGGAAAGAAAAAAGTCATCCTTCCTCTGGAGATTGACAGACAGTAGTGTGGTACCAATGGCTCTGATTTTGCTGAGGGTGGTTACTATAGTCAGGAGTCAAAAGATGTCCCCATCAGCACATATAGACTAGTGGAAATGATGCATAATTGGCCTAGAGATCCAATTTCTCAGTCGAAATCTCAGTGTCCACATCCATGGGTCTACTGGAAGGAGTGGTTTATAGAAACTCAATGGCAGCTAAAAGTTGTGTTGTAACTTAGCTTTCTAGAAACACCAGAACACCTGTATCCTCTGGAGAGGTAAAATTCTGTTTATACCATTGTGCACCCATGACTGTTGACCCATTTATCATCAATTATCAATTATCTACCTTATCATCAATTAACAATTAATACTAGGGTTAGTTACACATAAATATATAAATGAATGAAAAAAAATGCAAATTTTCATGTTTAAGAATTCCCAGGTTCAAATTAGATAACTAGCGAAGATGACAGGTTAGCACAGTGGTTCTCAACCTGTGGGTCGCGACCCCTTTGGCGGTAGAACGACCCTTTCACAGGGGTCGCCTAAGACCATCCTGCATATCAGATATTTACATTATGATTCATAACAGTAGCAACATTACAGTTATGAAGTAGCAACGAAAATAATTTTATGGTTGGGTCACAACATGAGGAACTGTATTTAAAGGGCCAGACGGTTGAGAACCACTGGGTTAGCCGATTATTTCATATTAACCAGTTTTTGCCTTTTAAAAGTTTGGTATTATTTGTATTAACATCTTCTTATAAAATATTTCACGTTGATAGCTCAGCATCTTGTACCAGAAATCTTAAAGCTTTCCCACCTGTACAGAGATGCTTGAATAGCCAGAAACTTTACAACTTAACACTGAAGACAGATATAACTTTTCCTTTATTGCACATTAAGCTGTACAAGAGTCACAAAAGAGAGGTACTTCAATCACACTTCCAGCATTAGCTGAGGTTTTCACGCTTGGTCAGTACAAAAAAAAAGGGACAACATCAGAAAAGAAATGGGTACAAAACACCTGAATGGCAATCCTATACTGCGATGCGTATGTCCCCCAGGCCATAGAGTTGTCCCTTAGCATGCTGCCTGAGGTCACATGACAGTCAGGTTAAGCTGTCTACTTGTGTTTGGCAGTTTTCTCTCCCACCTGAGACCTTGGCTGATACCACCCTGGAACCTGACTGAATTCAAATAGCAACTTTGTGTCTGTGGTTCACAAATGTCACATGAAAAGCACCTGGATGTTCACACTGAGAACATGCAGAGAAGCAACACCACCATCAGCTCACCACTGGACAAAAATAATAAATAAATAAATAAATTCCTCCATTCGGGGAAATGTTGCTTTATTCCTTTCTATCATTTGATCAGATTGGGAGGTATTGAAGGGCCTGATTCTTAGGCACTCACCTGAA